AAGCAGCGTTCAGTTATTATTATGCTCCAAATATCTGGAACAAATCCAGGCTGAAGACTTTCCTTTTTGCCGCTGCTTTTAATTGATATATTCATGTCTCACACTGCACTGTCAATTTTATTCATGTTCCTGTGTTTTGCTTTTAAATGTGTTTTTAAAATATGTTTCTGCTTCTCTATTTCTTAATGTCTTTGAATTGCCTTGTGTTGAAATGTGCAATTTAAATAAACTTGTCTTTCATTCTCTTGAGTTACGTTTCATTTTGTGTTTCTGCAGGTCAGAGCAGCAGCACGGCGAAGCTGAAGAGCCTGACTGGAGCTTTAGAGATCATGACGGAAACTCGCTCTGCCTTCCTGATGATCCATAAGGAGCTGCTGGAGGAGCAGATAGAGGTACCGTTCAGAGCAGCAGTTTGAAATGCTCTCTCATGCTGTTGCTTCTTTCCCTTTCCCGATCACACACTGCATACTAAATCATATTTGACTTCTTGTGCTGTAGTTGAGTGAACCTGCTGAGTCATCACATTCTCCTGACGCGGCCGGGGGCTCCCCCTCGGGACTGAACCTCCAGGAAGTGATGAAGCTGATCGGCGTGTTTGAGCCAAGCTTCTCCTTCCTGCTGCTGCAGGTGATCAAACTGATGACGACCATGAAACGGAAACCAAGGTGAGCGAGAAACAATGCACATATGAATTCAGACCTTTTTACAAATCAGCCACATGACAGCTATTTAAAGAACCACGAATGATCCCGTGGTCTAACGTCAGAGATATGGCATGTTTAAAGTTAAAAGTCAAAGTCAACTTTATTGTCAATCTTTCAGTTTGTGTGTACAGACAGAGAGATCGAAATACCGTTTCCCACAATCCAGAATACAACAACAAATATATGTAGGCAAATATGTATAGACATATTTATACATATAATAATAATAATAATAATAATAATACATTCGATTTATAAAGCACCTTTCATTGCTCACAGCAATCCCAAGGTGCTACATGAGGCATAATACAAATAAACAAAAGTTTAATCAAAAGCTTTTTTAAAAAGAAAGGTTTTTAAGCCTTTCTTGAAGGCATCAGTGGTCTGTGGAGTCCTCCGGTGGTCTGCACACATTAAGACCTAAATAAAAGCACAACAATCAATATATACAAAATAACAGTCACTTCAGTATCTTTGAAAATGTGCATTAGTGCAAGACTGTCCATAGCAGCGTAAAAAAAGTGCTGGATTTGAGTGTCTGTGTGTGGGGTGTTAAAGTCCAGGGGGGAGAGGAGGAGGGGGGGGGGAAGGGGAGAGAGTTCAGCCTCCTGACAGCCTGGTGGAAAAAAACTGTACTCATTGCTTATACTGTATATTTGACTTTTCTCAATGCTCACCCCTAATCATATTTGTTATTACAGCAATAAGGATGAGGAGCTGCTGAAAACCTTTAAGAACGTGTACTCCAAGCTGCTGCGAGCGGAGAAAAACACTCCTCTGCTGAGCCGCATCGAGCTCCACATCGAGCTCCTGCAGCAGCTGAAAACACAAACAGGAAGTGGAGACACGGGAGCGCATTCATGATGAAGACAGAAACCACAGTGCGAAGGACACTCCAGACCTTAAGTCTTCTTTAAACCCCACTCAGTGACAGAAGAGATGATTTATACACAGCTTTTTTAACACATGCTCAGGCAACACCGTCCTACTCTGAATGACAGTCTGAAAGCTGATTCACCTGCTGCGCCTTTAAAAAAAAACAACTCATCTTTTCTCTAGCATTTGCATCGAAGGTTTGGAATTGTACATTTTTGTGAAAAAGTTGTAAATTAGAAGGATATTATTTAATTGTGTTATTGCCTAAGCAGTTATGGCTTGCGTGTAAAGCTCCTATGTGTAGGATTTGTTTTTGACTGTACCACATTTGATCTGGATTGCCTCATTTTTATACAAATAAAACATACTGTAGGATTTTAAAGATGGTAGTACCACTTCCACACACTCATAAAGAGGGATTTAATTTAGCATCAGCTTACAAAAATAATTGGTCATTTTCATATTCTATAATACCAAAAGAACTGTGAATAACATAGATTGAAGTGTTTTTTTTTATAACAGTGCAATAGCTTGGCAACTTTCAATGCAATGTTTATGTCAGCATGGTTTGCTGTGATGTGAAAATTAAAGGTTTTTAAAAAAGAAATTGTTTGAATTCACGTTCTGGATGTCACACATCGTTGGGATATTGTTACACATCTGATATACTTTTGGGTTCAGGAAATGTTATTGAAAATGTGTTTCAAAGCATCCCATGTCAAATAACCCACTGACTCTTACTCAACAAGATATCATTCCTACACTGGACCAAAAAGACCCCCCTTTTTTCTAGGATTCTATACATCTTTGTTTGAACATTATGCAGTTTTTTTACAAGAAAAGTTATTTTTCCATAGAAATATTCCTAGAAGTAGAAACCCAATACAACATTTTCTTTTTTTCGTCCACTTTAGTAATAATATCATGTATGGATGTAGATTCACTGGATCAAATTATATGGTACACATTGATAAAACTAAACGATATCCTACTGTATATAAATATCCTCCAGACGTCTGATGACTAAAATATATAATTAAAATGACAGCTTCTGGCAGACAGTCACAACACATACGCAAAGGACACGTTGCCATTACCGATGACACAATGAAAAGGGCTGTCATCTTGATTCAAATGATGTTCTTCTCTAGGTTTGAAAATCGTTGGAATCATGAGACAATCTTAATTCACATCACAACTGCAAAATATTTACAGGTGTCAAGCCGTTTTAGACATTTTAAAGAGCAAAATGCTACATATTATATCTTTAAGTGGGTCAGCTGACAGAGTGCTGAGGGTTCTGGCTCTGGTCCGTCCTGCAGTCGGGTCACTGGAGAGGCAACATTAAGTTTTGAATTCAGCGTCAATGAACCGGGTCGCCCCGCTGTCTCTGAGCTGTATCCGCTGCACATGGAGCTGCAGGTGGGCCGAGGCTCTCTCTGAACCTCATCAATCAGGCCGGCCCCTCGGTGCTGGGGGGACCGACGGAAGAACAAAGACTAAAGGGACGATGTGAACGGAGCCACAGAATTATTAATAATGTCAGGGGGGCTGGGAACCTGAATTGTTAACCTCGCTTGAGTTTGATAAGATTTGACATTTTAAAATATGAGAAAATTATCCTTTTAGTAACAATATGTTCTGTTCAAAAAGAAGATAAAACACAATAGTTGGGCAAAGATCATTTCAGCAATTATTGTTTTTTTATTTCATATATTAGTGCACACTTTACTATGTAAGATAAACATTATGATACTGTGACAACACTGATTCATGACCAAGATGAAAGGAAATGACTCCTGAAAAAACAGATTATACAATTATTCTGTGCTTCTGTGAAATAAATCCTGTTAGCTATTGTACGACGCAGCGGTCTGAAGTCCGGTCCTCCTGCGGTTCCTCGTGGGACGTTGCAGGTTTCTCCTTTTGGTACTGATGGTTCAAAATGTTTTGCAGGATGTCTTTGCTCTCACTCGGTGGTAGATTGTAGAAAAAATACAGTGGTGCCATCTGAATGAACCTAGTGAGAGAAAGGACAATATATTCAAACATTGTTGCGTTGAGTGCAACTGAACTAAACCTGTTTCAATTTGGTTTGGAATTACTCCTAAGGGTTTTGTGGAAAAAGACTTACAGGATTTACTGACAATATCCACTCCTCACATTATTTGAACTGATTGACACATGTAAGATGTTAAACCTAAGAGAGCATGACACAGGCTGCAGAGCTTCCTCTCCTACATTAAGCTGCTCCACATTCCCAGGAATTCATCTACCCAAAATCCCTCTCCTCCAGCTGATATTTGAGAGCAGGATTAGGGCTCCTCCCCTCACAAGCATGCATGACCAGTGTCTGCTGAACTGAGGCTCTACATCTGGACCGAAAGGGAATGTGTCCGGCTGATTACATTTAAGCTTCTTTAAAAATGTTAAGATACGAGGGGTGGTCAGCTAGGCTTTCTTCAAAAGCAACAGGAGACCACCGTCTAGTCAACAAGAAACACAGTTTAGAAAAACAAATGTTGACCTACTCCTCTGGTGTTGTGTGGGTTACGGTGCGGAGGCAGTTGTCCTCGGAGAAGGAGTGCTGGTGGAACAGCACCCACTCAGGAAGGCCTAGTTTCGGGGTCCTGGCTCCGTACCCAGACAGAGGGTGGAGCTGAGCCACGTGCTTATGGGTGAGGATCAAGTAGTTCCCAGATCCATCCACATCCCGCGCCACCTGAGGGAACAGCCAGGTGAGTCAGATACTAGACTGAGTTTGCCTTAAAGGTGACCTATCATGCAAAATGCACTTTTGTACGTCTTTTGTACATGAATATGTGTCCCCGGTGTTCCAGGGAACTCACCAAGTGTCAGAAAACACAACCCACTCTATTTTCCTCCATACCCAAATCTCTTAAAAAGGGGCTGCAACAGATCTGATACAGACTGATCCAGATTTGAACACTTCTGTGACGTCACAGAAGTGGCGCTACGGCTATTGGGCCAACTCCACCAATCAGGAGGAGACAGCCACGGACATTGCCGTTCGAAAGCGCTGGAGACGCTGTAGTACATATGCCAGGCCTGTAGATGGTGCTGTTCTCACAGAATCAGCCCATGCAAAGACAGTGTTAAAATGAGCGAAATGAGTAATGGCTAAAATGCATGATCTGTTTGGTATTTTGAAAAATAAAAAGTATAAATATGCCTTATATAGGTATGGTCCTACACTATATTATTCAAATATAGCATGATAGGTCCACTTTAAACTAGCTTGGTGGAAGTCTTGTAGGAAGCTCTGCTCTCTGCTGCACTTTCTCAATGCATTGCGATGCTTTTTAACCTGTCACCCGAATGTGTGTTGAATTTGCACTATCCTCCTTTTAATGCACAATTTCATTGTCATACCTTTAATCTAAATGTATTTTTTATATATGTCTACTCTACAATTTTCTGTTTGTTTTTATGTCTTTTACTGGTATCTGTGTTCTGTGTGAGATACATTTTCTGTGAAATGTCTATGTGAAGCACTTTGGACTGCACTCGTTGTATGAAAAGGTGCACAAATAAAGATTTTTA